TCAGAGATGATTTAATCTATTTAAGTGTTGGACTGCTAGGAGAACTTGTACATTTACGATAATGCAGACTTAGTAAGGAAAACGGTTCACCAGTGTTTAGTTTTATATTGAGGTGCTCAGGTTGGAATAAAGTGGTATAAAAAGCAAGTATTGGTTTTTCTCTTTTTTGGCATAAAACAGTAAACATACATAAAAGGCATATAACCCAATATCTGCTTTTATATTTACTGTGTTCTAAGAAATTATTTGCATGATATTGATGAATTATCCTGATATCTAGAAGAATTATCTTTATGGCATTGAGTTTTGGTGCCCTGGATAACAGGAACTTTATGTCAGAAACTACTGTTCACCTCCATTGAGAAATATTACCATAACTGTAATGTTATCTCTGGAGCCAGCCGCTAAAGCAGCACTTACAAGTACTTGGCTAACATACTCAGCTGCACCTTCGTGGAAACTCTTAGTGCCTGGTTCTTCTTCATCCCTCTGCACCCCATTTTCATTAGGTGGTTTCTCAGTTTCTTTTTCACTGCAAAGTTCATAATGAGTCACTTCTGGTAGAAATTTGTCTACATTTGGGGGGTTACAAATGAAATTCTTAGAACATTTTGAATTGGACAAATTTTTCTTTGAGTTTGTAGTTGGCACACATACTTCAGGCTGAGGTTTGTACTGATACAATACACGAATATCACTTTCTGATTCAGTAACGTTTGCTTTACTGGTTGATAAAAGCAGAGACTCATTGGATGGTGAAGATTTGTTTTCTGTGGCAGAACGGTATGTTTCCTTATACACGTCAAAGGATGTCATTACCAGTGCAATGACTTCCTTTGTGTCCAAAACTTCCCATAGACCATTAGTAGCTAGGATAAGGAATTGACATAAGTCATCTATAAGCACAGAAATAGTTTGGGGTGCTGGGATAATGAATTTTTTCAGTTTGAGATCTCCATGAAATCCAAGTCCTCGTGTAGTTTTTATTTGCCCTTGTAGGAGTCCATATGATTCATGTGGAGTAATCACCGCTCCCTCTTGAAGCACTCTTCTTCTTTCATTTATGTTCCGTATGGTGTGTTCCTTGGTTAAACAAAAATCTTTCCCATTTCTGCATAAAACTGCCTGCACGGTACCTAAAAAAGATTTTTCATAAAATTTTATCCTACAAATTTAATAACCTGTTGTATCAAAATCTGGTAACTAATTCTGTGTTTCAATGCTACACAGCAGAGCATGAAAACGTATTTTTTAAGTAATATCACTACCAGATAGTTTATAGTAATTTAGATTTCAAACTGAGGAGGCCAGTTTATCCCTCATTGGTAAACAACTTCTAGTGTTTAAAATTACTGCATTCAGTATTAAATTCTAAATTTAATACTAAATTAAATTTCTAAATTTTTTATGAAACACCCTCAGAAAGGTCAGGATTTGACAACTTTTTTTGTAGCCAACATATAATCATTATAGCAGATTTTTAACACATTGCTGACAGGTCACAGGTTACCTGGTAACATAGATATTTCTGCATAAAAGTGCCAGCTAACAATGGGTTAACTTAGCAGCTGATTCATTTCTCTCAGTTTAAATTCCCAGTTATCCCAAATTCAGCCTATTTTAGTCTTTTCGCCCCACCTATCTCTCAGGTGCTTATAATATACAATCGCTTAGCCCCTCGACATCTTAATACATTATTTATTGACTGGCAATTTTATGCAGATACTAACCATGTTACTCGGTAACTCCTGACTAGTCAGCAATGTGTTAAAATGTTTTTGTTAATTTTTTGAGACAGTCTCACTACGTTGCCCTCAGTAGAACTCTATGGCGTCACAGCTCACAGCAACCTCCAACTCTTGGGCTTCAGTGATTTTCTCTTACCTCAGCCTCCCAAGTAGCTGGGACTACAGGCACCCACCATAACTCCTGGCTATTTTTTTGTTGCGGTTGTTTAGCTGGCCCTGGCTGGGTTCAAACCCTCTGCCCTCAGTGTATGTGGCTGGCACCGTAACCACTGTGCTATGCGCACCAAGCCTGTTAAAATGTGTTTAAATATGCTTTTTGAGTTAGAACTGATTTTTCAAGAAACATAGGGTTTGACAGTTTTGCAACTCGTAAATGCCACTGTTAGTCTTGCTGTGTTCGTGTAATGTGTGGTTAAAAAAATTTAAGTCAATTCTATGAAGGGAAATATGTGTTATACATGTATTAAATGGATAATAGGTTGCCAGCATTAAAGGAAACCCTTTCGTTGAAAACTGAAATCTTAGAAGTTGTTTGTAGTTTCTTTGTGGCTCCGATGAACCTGTGGTGTGTTCTTCATTGAACTTTTTTCCTTTTTTTCTTTTTTTAAGACGCAGGGTCCCACCTGTAGCCTAGGCTGAAGTGCAGTGGCATAGTCATAGTTCTCTGTGGCCTTTAATTCCTGGGATCAAATGATCCTCCTGCCTCAGCCTCCCAAATAGTGGGGGACTAAAAGTGGTGTGCAATATGCACCAGCCTTCGTTGAAATCTTAGATTTTAAACATACTTAGAATACACTGGGGGATAGATGTATCACTAAAACTTTCTTTGGTTTACATAGTTTTTTGGGTTTTTTTTTTAGTTAGGAAAAATTTAATTTTTCCACGTTGTTAGATACATAATTACATATTTACCACAGGCAGTAGCTTTTTTTTTGTCAATAGTTTTTCTTGATATCAAATCATTTATAATTATAAAATGTTAGCTAAATTATTCTGAAATTACATTGTGATAGTTGAATTTTTTTTAAAGAAGTATAGTTTAATTACTTGTTTTGTATTAACTTTTCATTACTGCTGTTCATTCTTACATTCTGCAGAATACAAATTAGTAAAATGTTTTACTGGATTGTAAATTACATAGCTGCAGAACAGAATGGAATTGTATTTAACATACTAGCTGAATACATAGAATTGTTGTATTAGGAGGATATATGTTTTAATACCTTTAAATTGGAAAATTTTTTATGGGTATACATATATACATACAAATAGTGTGGCCATAGCTCTAAAAACACAATGGACATAATTTTAGCTCAGAATAGTCAAATCCTCTGATTTCCTAAATGTTTATTTGCATGTAGAAGCCAAAACCCATTCAGCAAAAAGAAAAAGCTTTGGTTCCTTCTTACATAATTTGAAAAGAATTTAACAGAAATATGAACTTAAAATGGAAGAGTAGTTCGTGGGTATTTTGTTTTGGTTTCCTCTGCAGGATGAATGTAACGTTATGCACTATTTGCCTTTTTTTAATACCATTTCAGCACATTTTACTACTTGTGAACCTCCCTGGGGTTCAGCATGATAAAATTTCCTAGAAGGGTCCTTAAACTCTGGCTGCAGTTGCTCTCACGTTGGCTTGCTGCCCGACTTGAAGCAAATTACTCAATTGACAGTTTATTCATTCTGGGTTTTTCTTTTTTTTCTTTTTAGTTTATTTGTTCTCTTTCAGAGAAATGCTGCCTTCTGAATAGCTCACATCTTTTACTTATTAAAGAAAACACAAAGGAGAAGAGGTAGCTAGTGTTTCCTGACTGTTCATGCATGCATAACCCAGCAAATAGAAGGTAAATAAAATCCAGACTCTGCACTAATGGAACAGAGATTTTAAGAAATTAGATGTTCAGTCACTAGTTTGATTTCTAGAATTGGGGGGGGGCACGCTATCAGCTACAAATGAGGTTTTTGGAATCACACATTAAAGTGAAAGCTTAAATAGTTAACGAAAGGTACCCACAAAGATGGGAGATGGGGGAGACATTTTAAAATATTGTTAGGTCTTGGGTGGCACCTGTGGCTTAGTGGGTAGGGCGCCAGCCCCATGTACCCAGGGTGGCATGTTCAAACCTGGCCCAGGCCAAACTGCAACAAAAAAATAGCTGGGCAGTTGTGGCAGGTGCCTGTTAGTCCCAGCTACTCAGGAGGCTGAGGCAAGAGAATCGCCTAAGCCCAGGAATTGGAGGTTGCTGTGAGCTGTGACACCATGGCCCTCTACTGAGGGCGATAAAGTGAGACTGTCTCAAAAACAAACAAACAAACAAATATATATATATATATATATATATATAAACTATATGTATAGTTAGGTCCATGTAGTCTAGAGAATGGAAGAGAGGAACAATTAAGAGGACAGATGGCTTTAAAGAAAGGGTTCTGT